CCTTCTAATCTCCGGGATTTTAATTCCCAACTCATTTACACTCAAAGAAAAAACAACAACTACCGAATCAAATTGAAGCACTACAAGCTGAGATGCAATGGAAATATGCCGAGATGTAGTGGTATGAATGTGAACGCATAATGTGTTTATCGTCTCCAACGTTTGGTGCTCAACTGCATTATGAGCACATAAAACGTGTTTATCTTCTCGCACGATTGCTAAATATCACATTAAATATTTAAGGTAGCAAAATTATTCAATCCTTAAAGAACCTATGACCGCGTTTCCTCCAAAATTGTTGCGAATCGGTCTCCAATTTAGAAAAGACTCGAATTTTAGGTCTTAGTGCTTCGATTCGACAGGCGCTGGCCGGGCAACAAAAAAAACTTTAACCTCAAAAAGATTCCTGGGGCATGCGGGCAGTCATGCTGTTCATAGCGTTTGGCCAACGTACGGGAACCGACGCGACAGTTCCGGGCGCGGCGGCCTGTGCAGCTCCCCCGCCTGGCGCGGCGAAGGGTTGGGGAGGGCAGTCGTAAACAAGAAGGTTATCACCCACCCCGATCTGATCTGGTGAGAGGAGTCAGATGCTTTGAAATGCCGCCGGACTAGGCTGAGCCGCAAACCTTACCATGGGTCACCACCAATAATTACAATCGGCCGGGATGGCTCCTTAACAGATCATTTACCGCTCCGCAATAACTGTGGCATCCGGCGCTGGTTAACGTGAAAGCGTATTATTGCTAGTGACACTATTAGCGCGCATTATTCTACACTTCTGCAATGGAAAGCTGCTGGTACTGCGGTTGCTTCCATGCATTCCTGACACGGGAGATTTTACACGACCAACGGTTTTCGGACAGCTGGTTTGTTCATGGTCTTGAACTGGCATGTGTGAAATATGTTCTGCTAGCAATACGACCCCGGGTACTGAAGCGACTTTGCTGAAAATATGCCCTCGGCAAGTGGGCTTAATACGAGAGGATCGTTGCCGACGTCATCGGCGGACCATGCGCGTGTTCACGTGGTTCTCGAGTCCTGTATGGATTTTCGTCAAATCAAAAGAATGGCCCGTAATCCTCGCTCTGATTCACCGTTTTTCTAACTCGGACTGATGGGCGAGGCATGCGAACTCCCTCGCGTTTGCAATCAGAATTGGCAGAAAACATCATTGGTTTGATCTCAATGGCATCTCGCGACTAGTACTAGTTTTTAAGCTGTTGGCTTAACAATTGAGCCCATTATGGCAGGTCCAAGGTCGTATACCTTTTCAGCTTTGCAGCATTATACATGCAGTGAAGTTCTTTGCGGCGCCACAAAACCTTAACAGACGTGTTTGTTGTTCCATTTTGAGCACATTGGTGTATTTTTGTGTTTTGAGCGTACAGTTATGGCATATCGCTACGTCAATGTGACAATGTCGGTCCGCCGCGCGCGTTCCACGGCATCGTTGGTTACTGCCCGTCGCACGCGTTGGCCGTATATCGCCGCGCAGTTTCTTCCCCCCCCCCCCCCCCCAAACCACCACTGCTCCGAAACCAGAAAGCTAGGAATACGATTTTGGTGTTAAAACATACAAATGGATGTCTCACAGGTTACTGAAAACTTGGACGCGATCGCGCAACATGCTGGAGGTGCATCCTCAAAGACCTCATGGGGGGGGGGGGGGTATGATCCCCCCTCCTACCAGGGCGAGGGTTAAAGCGCATAGGATAAAGCATCTGACCTGTAAGAGGCTCGAGATAGTCAACATCACGCCCTATTGGTCGACAGGAGGCCCGAAATGATCCACCATTGGCCCCATTACAAACACAGGAATCCCGCAACCCAAGAGAAGACGCCCATTAGAAAGACGTTAGCACCCAATATGCCCGGTGAGGATTTCATTGCGTACACCTGAAAGTTTCGCAAGCTCAACTTATGTTGTTCGACGCATGTTAACTTCGGTTCGCATCTGCCCGAAACCCACCCGTCGACATGTTGTTTACATTTCCTGATCCTGAAATACTCTCCCCGAAAAAGGTCCCTCACATTTGCGGGCATGTAGTTCAGAAACTAGAGGAGTTTAGGCCTTAAGATGGGCGGGGCTGTCAATTACGAAGACTGAACTTTAAGATGGCTATTTCAGTTCAAAACGTCAAAGCAATATGAAGCACTTTCTAACATATGCTTCAAAGAGTAAACATGAGCGCGTTTCGCGGTCAGCCATGATATCGCGCTGAGGATGTGGGTCGTCTAATCACGTCGGGCACTGTACATCAGTGCCGATGTTCACCCAAACCCAAAAGTACCCCTCACGTACTTTTGAGCGAACTGGGTTTGTGGAATGTGCCTCACTGTACGGTGACTTAAGTGACCAAACGTAAAAAGAAAGAAAAAGCTGCAACAGTGATCGCTGTAGCAAAAATCACATTTACACGTTCAGTTTTGACTATTTGCAGGCAAATCGGACCATATGGGCACCGATTTTGACGGGCCAGATCTCCATTTAGAACTCAGGGTCCGAACGGCCTCTTCAAGTGATCAGACAACTTCGGCGGCAGTCCTTGCGAAAGCCCAAGAGTGGAACAAACTTTCCTTGTTTCTTAAACTTCATAGACTATATAAGCCGACGTCATTTTTGGCATTTCCATGAAACATATCTGACGACCAGCAAAGCACCGCTGCAGGGCATCTCAAATTCGTGGCGAAAGCAGGATCTTGAGGATACACGATGCACTCATTTGTCATACCAAGCAGACTTGCGATGCAAATTGCAGCTTTCTCACTCAGCCCCACGTTGTAATGCTTGTATCTACCGCTAAGTATAACCCGAATCAGCTGCAAATGTGTGATACACGAAACTGGCCGAGAAAACGCATGCTTGACGCAGCGTTGGGACGCGCACAGGTCAACCGGCACAAGTCCTCGTCGCGGCGGTGGGTGCGGTCGAGGGACCTCGGCTTCACGGGAACGGGTGGTTTCGGAACAAGGGAGCTGGACTGGCGAGGATCCAGCGGGCGCGGTACGATGGAGGTGAGCTGAAGGCCGACCTAGGGTGTTTTATGGGGGGCACGGCTGACGGGGAGCGGGTGGGTTTAGTATGGGGAAGCTGGGTTGGCGACGGCCAGGTGAGTGTTTGCGGCGGAAGCTGGGTTCGCCGAGAGCAGATGGGTGGTCCTGCAGAGAACTCGGCTGAGGGGGAAGCCAATGGGCGCTATGACGGAGTTGGGCTGGCGGGGAACGGATGGGCGTCTCTGGAGGGAGCTGGGCTGGCGAGGAACGTATTACATGGATGACAGTGAATTGCTGGCCGGGCTGGTGAAAGATAACTCAGACACAGAACTCTCAAGCATGAAATATTTCCCTCGCTTCTTTGAATTTTCCAAATCCCATCAGACAGGCAACTGTGGAGCCGCTCCCTGGGCTGCTTCCATTCGCTACCCAAACAATCGAAGACATTTTTGGACATGCCAGATTGCGCTCACTCTCGAAAAGATGGGCTGGGCAAAGCGTTGCAGCCGGATGCCGGCAACGCTGTTGTCTGAGCGCTGCCGCTCCCCGTGTGCGATGTGGACTTCGAGGGGCGTGATAAATACAAAATTCCGAAAAAAATATATTGTAAAACGGATGGGACTGTCTCTCAGGCGAGGATTTGCGCGATCGGTGCTCCACGTTCAGGCCTTCAGGGCAGCAGAATGGGCGCCGGCTATGTCCTGCTCATCATTGGCTGGGCCGTGATCGTCGGCTCTTCAGGCCTCCAGGTGGTCTTTTTTTTTGGGGGGGGGGGGGGCAAGTTGCAAGATGACGGAATATGTTGCGCACGTGGAGACGTGCTTCATATTACTGGCCTGAGTGGAGCTTCCTCAGCCGGTGAGCTAGATAGACGGCTAACAGGCTTGTTTATATAGCCGGTGACCTCGTGCCACCAGGTTCCGGCCACTGCGTCCTGTGCGCGTGGTGACCCGGTACTCATAGTGACCCGGTCAGAGCTCGTCGCCAGACAGAGTCGATCACACCGAGCCCTTGTTGCCATGGCGGTGAAAGGTCCGAAACAGAACGCCATCGGAACTGATACCCGAGAATAATGACGGACAATGACGGGGAGGCTGAGCATGACATCAGGATCGACGACCGGATGGTTGTTCCCAGTGCGTCCTGTTCACGATACTACAGATCCCTCAACTGCACTATGTTCCCCTGTTTGGTTGTATTTATTGTTAAGAGTGTTTCTCATTTGCAAGAGGCTCACAGCAGAAATATTCATCTTAAAAATCATCCGGCGCAGTTCACGGGCCCACCTTCTCAGGACTTAAATTGTTCTAGTCTCGGAGTTACACACCCGCGAAGATGTGCACACCATTTCAAGGTCACCCAGGCATCTATGACGACAAAATAACGTCATTCAAATCCTGCTATTCCACTGGCCATTTGGCGATCAAAGCCAAGAAAATGACTGTCGCCTTGTTCATATCTGGCGATTGTCGGCACGATTTCCAAATATGATGACCGCCAACTGTCTCAATCAATGTTGTGCAATACACGATCACGCGCCCAAACAATGACGTATTGAGGAGCATAGTAACTAAGTCAAGAAGTTATGTTATCCATAGGAGTCTTTTCCAATTCAAGGCATACCAACAGCTATGATTGTGGTTATTTCATCGCATCTCATGCTTGCTTCAAAATCTAAAGGCGCCACGGTTCAGTGACGTCAGCCATGACCTAGAGCCGTAAGGCGTTAGACCAGTCCCTGGGCCACAGCGTCCTCCACTCCCCGCTGGCATTCCACTCGGCACAACAGCTAGAGCAGCATGCAGTGGCGCGGACCAGATCTATAGCAGTAAGCAACTAGAGCTAGTGCGCCCGAGCCCAGCAATGATTTGGACTGGGAAGAAAGTTCGATTCGCCTACTTTCCACAAAAATAAGTGGTTACTGTTCACGCAAGGCGTGTTTTTTCTTTTGAGTGGGAATCTCACGGGCCGCGCCACCCCATGCCGGCGAGACATACACGTGCCAGTCAATGTAGCCACATTGTATTGCTCGCCACACATCAAACGCCACTGCACCAACCACCAGATGCGATTTGTCCGGCCTACACACACCCTGTGAGGGAGGGGGGGGGGGGGGGGCGGCAGCAGAGCGTGTCTGGCAGCCAAGCGGTCGGTTTCCGACGGCGGTGCAAGTGATATACAGCACGAGCTTGATGAGAATGACGTGACAACGACGAACTATGGGCCTTTTGTACATCGGTTACGTCAGCACAGACTTAACTAGGCCACCACCAGTGTCCTCAACGCAATCCTCTGTCGTTGGCTTACAAGGTAGTGCAATCCAGCCGTTAAATATACACTAAATTAGCACGTACGAAAAATATCACAGCCGACACAGTTGGTTTAAACATATGACCCTAGGCTGTGTGAGCAGCATGTAAAACCAAAATTGACCTTGCCAAAGAGAACAAAAAACGTCAATGCCACAACACACCACGCAGGAAACGTTAAAAGCCTATAGTGCATCACTACGCGGAACAAAAATAATTTACTGTTTAACAAAACTAAAAATTGGTCAATCTCCTCAATGTAGTTAACAAACGTCCTCTGACACGCGCTACTGGATGGTACAAACATCACAACATAATTTGTGCATGCCATTTGGTACACCGCCCGGGCAGGACCCCAACTACCCTGACGTAAACACAACATAACGCGCGACACGCTCATTCTCAGTCAACGATTTCTCGGCGTCTGGCGACGGCAGACCGCACGCGAAATGATCAGCGCGTCCCTGGTGCCTCACATGGAGCATGCAGAATAGCAGAGTGCACTAAGAGCATCTGACATGCTCGTCAAAGCCAGCTAGGGACATATCAATACGTCATCATATATTTGTGGTGGGAATGCATGCAAACAACTAATGGGAGGGGGGATTGTTCCATGCTGATCTTATTTCTGCACAAGGGTCGCCCACATACAGCTCTGTAAATTACCCGGCCAATGTTGTGGGCGGTTTGAATGAGTGCATCAGCTAGTTGCCAACCCACGGAAGAAGGCTGTGTGAAGGCCGCGAGGTGCAGACGAGCTCAATGCCCCTTTAAATTCAGGCTGTGACTTGAAAGAGATCATACACGTAGGTTGCTGCCACAAGCGTTGGCACGCTGCTCAAATCACGTTGCTGAGGAATGCAATACCCAGCACCCTACCCAGTCAAGCTTATGCATAGCAGCAAACCAGCTACCGACCCCAGACACCCACCACGCCAGTCTCACACCCGCACCCTCACCCGCACCGCCGATCCCACGCCCATCATGACCTCTCCAGGTTAAACTGGCGGTCAGTTAGTGCTCCGACTGGAAATAGTCGTCCGTCGGCGGTGCCCCTGCCCCGCCGAGCCTAGCCGGGCGGCGCGGCCGTTGCTGGGGCTCCAGCCGCTGCCGCTCCGCCGTCGAGTCCGGCACCGGCTGCGGCGTGCGAAAGGTCGCCCCGCCCCCAGAGCCATCAACCGAGTCGTTCCCGAAGCGCAGCCTGCGCCACGCGTCCACGGTCGAGTTGGACGGCGGCGTGGTTGAATTTTCCGCCTTCGCTGGCGGCGCCTTGCCTCGCACGTGCTTGTCTCGTTTGCCCCGTTTGCCCGCCGACAGGCTGCCGTTCCATCTCAGCGCCGTATCGACGGGGAAGCCGCCTGTCGGTGGCGCCGAGAAGTTGAAGTTGCGTCGTGAGCCACGGGTGTTGTTGAGCTGTGCCTCGTCGCTCCCGGTCGGCGTCGAGTTGTTGGACGGCGGAGTTGGGACGACTGACTCGTGGATGTGTAGCAGCTTGGTGTTGACCACCTCACAGTCAATCTGCATCATGGCCACGAAGTGCTCGGGCGCCCGCATCGACTCTGCAAGCAGCAGGACACCTGTGTAGGGCTACAAAAGCAGATAGGCGGCAAAAGCTGGTGGTAAAAAAATGCACGGGGAAGCAGGAGCAACACAGGAGCAATTCCCCAAATATCCACAGCCGATACCAATATGACCACAAACAGGCCATTTGATCGGAGGCTAAAAATTGGTCAATTATAATGATATAATGGTTAAGATCCCTAAATTCATAACCATTTAAATATTTCATTGATTTCGAATAACCACGACCCAACGAAGGCTGTTTGTACAGTATCTTACGTTGAATTCCTCTTTCTTAATTTCACCTAAATTGCGGTTCTAGGCATGGTTTTGTTGTATTCCCAGTAGTAACACCTAAATTTATGCACACAGCAGTATATTCAATCCGAGGAAAATTACCATCCATGCTGAAAAAAACACTAGAAAATAAAGTAGCCAGGCCAACATATAACAAGTCATTGGGGTGAACGGAGATGAAACCTTCGATGCATTCATCATCCATCATCCAACTCACTTACTTTCATCCATTCTGTAGCATTAAGAGCTTTCCAACTCCAGTTACAATACCACTCCACGATGAGGTGAACGAATAATGATGAACCAAAAGCCTTGTTGTAAGGCATAATTACACTACTGTGACATACCTGGGTAGATCATTAAGTTGACGAAGTTCAATTTTGCTGCCGTTGACGGCCGAATTAAATGCCAATAACGTAAACAAAAGGTAGGGAGTATGCACAGCTGCCTGTACGCTACCGCCTGTCAGCAATGCACTCTCTTGTTAGATGCTGAGCCCGGCCGGGCGACCCGGCTGCTCCCAGCCGGCCGGGCCGGTCCGGGCCGCCGGCTCGGGTCACCACGCCCGCCGTGTCACGCCGAGGCGCAGCCCCGCATAGCGCGCGCTGATTGGTCTGTGACCAAAAGACCTGTGTCGGGGTCGGGTCGCCGGGGCACGGGGAGCGGGACTGTTGGAGCGGAGCCGGGTGAATGCGGGCGTTACCGAGATGTCGGCGCCCAGCGGGGCGAGGCTTCGAGTTGAATACATCACGAGCCATGTCTTCAGTCGACCTCGGCCAGGCTTACAAAAATACGGAGGCTGGGCTAATTCCTGTTTGTCATATGGTATGTACAGTCTTCGCATTTACCTGCTAAGCTATGTCTTCTAGTAATTATTGTTGTAAGCGTGTGCCTACATCTAAAAACGCATCCTAATTGGTGATGGTGACGATGCCTTCAAACTGTAATGTCTTAAAAATGCCTAGCAATTCTCATTCACTCCTTCACTAAGCATTTGTTTGAAGCAGCACTGAGTTCATACCATACACATTGTCCATTCAGTGTGCTATATTCAACAATGGCCTTGTTTACAATCTGGAACATGTTAAAGGGAGCGTGTCTAGTCAAGTAAGGATCTTTGACCGCACGTAGGATAGTAGGAAATTTCTATTTAAAATTTCGGTATCATTGGTTTCTACAAATTCGCCTCCAATGACGAGGTATTGCCACAGCTCCCAAATTTTATTTCGTTTCTGTAGAAGAACGAAGTTATCGGGTAGCCGCCAAGCAATATTCGCTACTAAACACATCGACATCATTGAGAAAGCATCGAAAGCTCTAGCCAATGGCTTTTCGAGGATGCCGCTTGTCAGCGCTGACAGCAGCTTGCGAACGTGGCGATGGCGGCGGCCATTGTGTTGACGTTTTTTTCCTTTACATTCAGCAGCACCAGGCTCTAGGAAAATGCCCTTGTTCTACGTTACCTAACAATCAAAACAATATGTCTCTGGCGCACAGTTACTCGCCACATATAAGCCAATGCATTCGACCTTTCATGCCTGCCGATTGGCTTATCTTTTAGGACTGTATTTGTTCACGCACAGCCATCGCTGGTATCGATGAAAATGAATAACCCAAACTATTGCAAGACCCAAAGGCACATTTAGCAACCAACATTAACCATGGATCATTGCCAAACTTCACTTGGGCGTGTATTGAGAAAACCGACAATATTAGACACATTCCCTTTAAGTCACAGGAAAAATGCTGAGTTTCCGCGGCAGTTGGTGAACATATACTGCGTCATTTGATAAACCAAGCCTTACTTTTACTTGAAGCCCGTAGCTCCAAACAATTTGTTCTGAGAAAGGTATGCGTTAAGCGGTAGAACTACGAAGTTGCATTAGAAAATAATACATTATTATTGACTGTCATAATTGACGAATGAAATAAGTCTTGGGAATAACGTTTTCGCCTGGTGGGCTAGCATTTCCGTAACGTTTGTCTGACATATTGATAATTCCCAAAGATGTACGATGCATTACAATGCGCTATGTGTTGGACAAGTCTTTGCCTGGGAAGCCGACCGTCACCGAACGCTCCGCCGGGCCGACACTAACCGTTGAGCGGCAGCGAGGGCAGCAGGAGCGACATGCGCGGCCGCTGTGTCTGGTTGTGACTGAGCGCCGGCAGCATGAGATGGTCGCCGTCGAAGGACACCACGTAGAATGTATCGGCGCGCCGCTCGATGGCGTCCATGAACGGGCCGTAGGCGCCGAACCAGCGGTCGTATAACTGCAGCTCACCGGGCCGCGGACTGGCGGAAGATGAGGGGAGGCAGGGGACGTCACCAGACTGAGCCACTCCAGCACGGGCCAGGGTCCGGCCGCGGACCAAGGGCACGTTGGCTCCACACGGGGCGAAGAGCGGGTACTCTCGGATCCGGAGAGACAAAGCGAGAGCTCAATTTGGAGAAAGAAACGGTGTCACGGAGCGGATGCCCTCAGATCCGGAGAGATACAGTGATAGCTCATTGTGGAAAGAGCAACAGCTTCACAAGTATGGGGTCAGGATATAATGCGCAACCAACGCGTTCAAGAGGATTTTTAGTCGGATGCGGTTAGCCAAAGCCAACGAGTGCTCGGGTGGTGGAGCTCTGAGCTCAACTCAGTTCAGACAACAGGGCACCTACGATAGCGGACGAAATCCGCGAAATCAATCGCAGCTCAGCACCGCATTCGATTATTGGAGACACCTCTCCATGCTGGTCCACACATGTGCGAGCCAGGCAGATCCGCCCGCGTACCACACTGACCGCCGCCCCCGGGTCCACCATCGGCGCCTCCTCACCTGTGCCGCTTTCTGAAGGACCGCTTGGGGCGGCGTCGGGCGGCGCGGGGCCGAGCGCCGGCCCGGCGGGGGGCCGGTCGGCCAGCAGCCTGCACCGTGCCGTTCTCGGGCAACGGCGGCGACGGGTCGAACCAGCCGTGCAGTACACGGGACAGCCTGGAGAGGAGGTCACCAGTCACGAGCGAGGACGAACTCGAAGGCGTGGAGACTTGCAGGCACACACCGGTCGGTCGGCGACAGGATGAGGCTTAGTGGCGAGTGAACAAGGCTAGCTCAGCAGAGTTCAAACCACTGACAAGGCCACGCCATCCGCCAGGCTAGCAAAGCCGGGTTGCAAAGCCCCCCGACAAGTAATATAGCTTTTCACTGAAACCGCATCCAGCTTCGCGAACAGGCGATGAAATCCACCGCGACGTTCACAGCCGTCCGTGGCGAGAGCGGACCGGCCGCGGACTCAAGCGCACCACCTCCGGCGCCGCTCTCACCTGCGGGCCTCCGACTGGTTGACGTGCTTGGGGCACATGTAGCCGTTGGAGGCGTTCAGCGCCTCCGAGAGGTAGCTGAGGTCCGCCTGCTCGTCGGCCGGCGCCCAGAGCAGAGTGCGGCCGCCAGGCGACGCCTCGGCTGTCGGGCCACCCAGCTCCGACGCCAGCGGACTCGAGAACATGGACCTGTGGCCGGGGCAGGGCGGCGCTGGTCACCACACCGTCGCCTAGGCCACAGGCCGGTGGGCCGGAACTTGCCCGGCACGAGTCACCACGCCGCCGCACGGTCCAGCCCACCTCCCACACACTGGGACGACGACGCAGGAGCTGAAGTGCGCGCACCAGTCGTGAGATCGCTCACACAACACACTGACGACGGACGGGCGCCGACACGCCTGGTCGCTCAGATCTCAATAATGGCTAGAACCGCGGACTCATTTGGTTGCTCAGACCTCAGTAGTGACCGGTACCGCCGAACAGTTGGTTGCTCAGACCTCATAAGTGACCAGTGCCGTCTACACGTCTAATTGCTCAGACCTCAGTAGTGACCGGTACCGCCGACACGTCTGGTTGCTCAGACCTCATTAGGACCAGTGCTGCCGACACATGTGGTTGCTCAGACCTCATTAGTGACCAGTACCGCCGACACGTCTGGTTGCTCAGACCTCATTAGGACCAGTGCTGCCGACACATGTGGTTGCTCAGACCTCATTAGTGACCAGTACCGCCGACACGTCTGGTTACTCAGACCTCGTTGGTGACCAGTGCCGCCGACACGTCTGGTTGCTCAGATCTCATCAGTGACCAGTACCACCGATACATCTGGTTGCTCAGACCTCATAAGTGACCAGTACCGCCGACACATCTGGTTGCTCAGACCTCGTTAGTGACCAGTACCGTCTACACGTCTGGTTGCTCAGACCTCATCAGTGACCAGTATCGCCGACACATCTGGTTGCTCAGACCCTAGCGGTGCCCAGCACATCCCACCGTAGCACTGACCGCGCCGCATCCTCAGCGCGACACGGCTGTTGACCTGAGGCCGCCCGCCGCCTGAGCGCGCCCGGGACCAGCGTGGCCACCAGCTGCGTACTGACCCGATGGGCGCCATGTTGAGAGAGGCGAGCAGCAGGACGGAGAGCAGCAGGAGCGGGCGGCGTGGCGAGGGCGGTGGCGAGGCGGGCGCCTGCAGCCCGCGCAGCATCTCCACCTCGGCCTGCAGCTGCGCCAGCCGCCGGTGCAGCTGCTGGTTCTCGGCGCGCAGCCGGCCGTTCTCGGCCTCCGTCTGACGCACGCGCGCCTCCATCTCCGAGAACTGATCCTTCTTCTTCTTGCGCGACAGGCAGGCGGCCATGCGGTTTTTGATGATGCGCTCCTGACGCTTCAGCGTCCGCGGCTGCCGGCGGCGGGCGGACGCGGTGGAGTCGGCGTGGCGATGGCCGACGCTCGAGGCGACCGCTAGGCACAAGCGCGCCCCACGACATGACTAATCCCCCAACGCACAGACTGAGCGCGGCGATCGCGGCAAGCACACACAAAAAGGTGCGATAAACAATCAACGAAACGACACACGTTATCCAGAGCCACTGGACGGTATGAACTGTAAAACACAACTTAAAATCAACAGGAAAACATTGTTGAGCAGTGCAAGGAGGTTTCATGCCGGCTTTCACAACGTACACCCATTTGTCATAAGAAGCATCACACAGCAGCCAGACACGCCCTGGTCGGCATGACCCGTGCCAGCGGGGCGCGCTGCGTGACTGGCGGTGGAAACTCACGTCCATGGCCTCCCGGGGCGGCGGCACGGTGACTGTGGGTGGCAGCGGGCGCGCCTTGGGCGGGGCGGTGGCCGGTAGCGGCGGCGGGCGCCGCCGGGGCGCCGGCTCGCCGCCGCCGGCCGGCCGCGGCTGGATGGCCGCCGCCGGCTTGGCCGCCGCCGCCGCCGCCGCCGGAGTGGTGATGATGTACGTGGTGGAGACGGCCGCCGGCGCCACTGCAGACACGCGGCCACGGCGTCAGCTCCGCTCCGCGCACAGTGCTCACCGCCGGGCGCGCCGGCGCCGACGAGACCTGACACGATCGCCGCAGGGCAGACGTACGGGGCTCACAACCGGCGCAGCGCACGCCTAACCCGGTAACAACTGCCGTGGGGCGTTCGGCACACATGCACGGATGTGTGCATGGCGAATTATACGTGGCGCCATGAACAAACAAGTCGGGTCCTATGGTCCAGTCAATGCATGCAAGTAAGACACGTAATCAGGCATAAAATGCCGAAGTACCCACATGGCCTAATAACCTTCCCGTGCACCAACCATCGCCGTCTTCACTTGCCCCATCTCCAAACACTCCATACGGAACAACTCAGGTCGGCGTGTTAGAGAGTTGAAGTAAAAATTACTGTAAAATAAAACAATAGTTCAAGTAAAATACTTAATGCTGTACTGTATGCATCACAAGCCCCACTAAATGTGTCGAGAAGTCCATGGCTGGGAAGCTTCTCACCGGTCTGCGGTATGACTATGCTGGGCGCGGGACGGATGGGCGCGGTCTTCGGCTGCAGCGCCCGAGGCACGAGCACCTTCTCAGTAGGTGGCGAAGACCCGGTGCCCAAACAGATCACTGGGCGGAGCGGTAACAGAGCAATGAAAGACAGACCAGACTGGATATGGGCTGGGGTAAACACGAACGTCGTCAACACGCACAGCTCTGCAATACTAAAACCGACCAAATCTGGTAAAATCGATCATTCGTTCACACCTGAAAGCCAAAGCACCTACTGACAGATAATATAGCCAAACAAAATCTAAGAACATACGGATCTTAACACCGACCTAAAAAAAAACCTTGACTCTTGGGAACAAACGCAGCGCACGTGAACAAACACACGCACTACAGCGGCACGGACTGGCAGCCGTCCACTGACCTTGCTGCGTGTCGTTCCTCCGCGGCCGTGACTGCGCCACCTCCTGCTTGATGACCTGGATGATGGCAGCCGGTGTGGCGGCCACGGTGAGCTGGGGAGGCGTGACTGGCGGCGTGTCGCAGTACTGCCGGACACGGCACACGGTCAGCACAGCACGACATCCACGAGGGAGTACCCCACCTGGGGCGCGCCCGTCCACCGGCACGGCCACGGCCACGGCGAGCTGGGCCCACAAGACGGGTCGTGCGCTGCAGCGCCGCTGAATTTTGGAGCGCAACGGCAAAGTCAGGCACGGCAGCACATGGAGTATGGGAAGAAAAGTCTGGTAGGGATTCGCGAAGGTCGTTTTCGAACCACGACATAGACATTTGCATGACCTCAGCCGCGCATGGCTGGAAGGTTAGAATAACTATTCCCCAGGAGAAGAATGCCGGACAGTGCAATTCTGCGTTGTCTTGAATCCCCTAAAATTATTTTATTGTCCAAGCGGATTTGTCCCATATCTAAGTTCCACGCCCCGCGTTCTGAAGATCGTGGCAGATGTCTCCAGTGTGATTCAAGGGCTGTTTTAAGTGGGAAACTGATGATCACAGGTAAGTGATTCGTTGCGCTCATCAAGCACACTGCCTCTGATCCCTCCCTGAAAATAAAAGTGTCATTTCAGGGGGATCAGATGAGTCAGACTTGTCATTTAACCGCGACTGATTCCAGCGTTTACATTTCAAGGCAATCGGACCAGGCCCACCGACCTTGAAGCTTCCAACATGGCTGATGCCTGGATTGCAGCAGATTGCGCGCGGGTGTTGACAATTGCGGAATGCGTGCGGTTGTTACCATTTCTACAGCAAAACTTACCACACTCCTCGAAACGGGGACGAGTGTTCAAAAACATATTTTAAAATGACAGCGCTGCTCACGTCACACTGCCAGTTATTACAGCAGCTGTGAGCTGGATTACGTTCTGCATACCTATGACTGGCACACAGATCTCTCTCATGCTCTGACATTGTCTGCATCCATGTGCTCCGATTCACAAATATAGCATGACATGGGACAATGGCACATCTCACATTCAGATTGATTCAGCATGCAGATACGTCCCTCATGCAACGAGCGGTTCAGTTCGCCTCAGCACTTGAGCGAGCTGGGCCGGGAGCGAATGTCAAAACGTACCTTCGTAATATTCCGGTTTATCCAATTTACGACTTTATCCAATTATGCCCATGGATTGGGAGCTTGTCTCTAAAATTGAGGCTGAGCAGGAAGGGTGCTGTGCAGCAAAATTGCGTCGTCAAATCTGGCAGCATTTAGAGGCTCGACTTCGGTGCGTCCCATTAACATAACCAATTAGCATAAAACAAAGGGGCCATTTTGTTCCCTGTGATATATGTTGCCCAACAGTCTGAGAAAACATCACCAGTTACCTTGCTAGATTAAATCACTGCATAAGCTAGGAGGCTAAATGAGCATAAATAACTTCCACGAAGCGTAAAGACGGCTCGAACCTTTACAACTACAACTGGAGATAAGCAACACACCAAGCCACTGCAGACAGTGAGAGCTATCACCGATGGTGGCAGCTTCTGCGCACCTCGAACCCAACTGAGTACGCCTCTACGCCGCTGTCCGATCCGTCCGGTGAGGGCGGTGACCGCGGCTCCGGCTTCATCCCTGCAGCGAGAGCACGATGGGTCACAAACGGCCACAAGCAGACGACTCCACAAACACAAACGTCCGCCAATGACCGCAGCATTCGGCCCGCACGGCCACTCGAGCGGGCTTGCCACACGGCGGGTTTAGATTACCAGGCTCAAAACTGCACGATACGAAGCAAAAACAAACATCGGAGAACATGAGGACATTTGTTCCAGGAAACTAGTTTCGGTTTTTAGCAGATGTGATTTCACTGCGTTGTCAATCGCAAAGCGAAACGAAAAACAGCGAAACAAATAATTCTACGCTTTTCTTGTGAATGAGTGTATCGCATATTTTGTTCATGTACAGCATTTTGTTGGTTATTGGGGTTTTCAGGTGCGCCAGCTGCAGTGGTCTTGGGCGTCATTTGGTGCAACTTAAAACAGCCCACCGTCCTTCATAAAAAGGAAGACGGTACGAGCTGATCTATGAAGCTGGACGCCACAAAATGGCTGGTCTAGACTGTTGTGAACAAGTTGCATTTACCAAAAATATTGCCAGTGCCGAATGTTCATCGGGCGCGCCAATACACGCTGTGAGCAAAGCACAACACATATTGACGACCTGGCTCTCCTACCCACCCACTAACACGCGCTCGGGTGGGGGTCAATTTGACTCCCCCCCCCCCCCCCCGGAAGATTTCTCCGAAATGTGTTCCGAACGGCACGGCGCAGTAGCGGCAATTTTGCACACTTGTGACCAACTGAATGGCGGATCGTTTGGCGACAAAACATGAGATGCACCTTGTAAGTTCATTGACCAGGTCAAATTCAGGCCAAGGATTCAGTGACGACAATTTCTATGGAATTGTTCAATCTGATGCAGCAACAGGAGTTTTAGAAGCCACATATTTCGAGACAGTTTTGAGCACCAGTGACCTTTAGCTTAGAACAGGTATCTAAGGTGCATGACGGGTTGCATGAAATGGCCTGGGGCACCTTGGACACCAATCTGGAGTTTGACCTTACTGACCCGGGTGTTGTCATTCAATTTATTCCAACTCCCTCAGCTGGTTACCTGGGCGTGTGTCAATGCTTGTAATCGTCAGGTTATTGACCAGCACCGCTACTTTTCTGCTGCCCAGCATTACGACCACTGGGACGGTTGCGCGCAAAAGCCAGCGCATATTCAAGCAGTGCGCGTTACTCAGATTTCATGCCTAAACTCCAAAGATCTCAGTTGAGTGCATTAGGGCAGTACTATTTCCCCAAGGAAATGCAATAACATGGTAATGGTGTTGATTCATATGTCAAAAACGTATAAATCAACAACGATGCCACCATGTGACTGCAAACATAATGCATTAAATTTATTTCACCAGATTTAGCTGTGCCAGCAGTTACTACATAGAATGCCACACCACTGGACATATGAGGAAGGTGCATCGGTGTTCACTTTTTTCAACAGGCCATGCTCGCCCACCAAAGCCACTCCAGTTGAGACTGGTGGTAAGGGCAAGATCAGCACACACCGTCGGTGCTGAGCTGACTGAGGTCAATGGTGGCGTCTGCCACCGCCTCGATCAGGTCCGGGCCGCCCGGCGCCAGGAACAGGTCCTCCCCGACCAGCATGTCCGACACTTGCAGACCATCCTCGACGTCCATCGACGGCGTCTGGCTGAAGATGTCTGTCATCGCCTCCTCTGCCGAAGGGCACGGTACCAGCGCCAGTCAGCTCGGGGGGCAGAGCTGTGTGGCAGCCAGTCAGCCAGAAACTGGCAAGACCATGCTCCATGTGATCAGTTTCAACAGACCAACTGAATGTTGCAAATGTCCAGCAAAGACAATAAGTTTCTAGCAAATGATGGGTTTGCTTAACTGGATAAACCAGAGATGGCTTAAAAACTCAACTACCAAAACTGATGGAATGTCTAATATATTTGTAGCAGTTTGTTGCACAAACCCAGTCTCACACTTCACACACACCCATTGCATCATACACACAGTACTGCCATCCAAAAGCAAAAAGGCTAAGAGCCATTATTTGACATAACACTTAAGCCTTTCTGCCTTTGAATGGCAGAGTAGTGATGATCCCACTTTCTGACAGTTAGACAGGCTGAATCAGACACATGTTGATCAACAGGTCCCCTCATGCCTTACATCACCTGACATGGTGCTAATCCTCTCATCCTATGCAAAAATAAAAGCACAGGTGACTCACCCATGATGTCCCCATAATCCACTGATG